AGAGCGACAAGTCTCAGTTCGTCATTCAACTGCAAACCGACATGTACCGAAGCAAGTGGTCACCGTCGTCGTCGTCGTCGTCGTCGTCGTCGTCGACGACGTCGTCGGAACCACCGTCATCATCCCCGTTGGTGCCGTCCGATGACGAAGATACGAAGATCGCGCTGTGCAACCTCCTGCAGAGGTGCATTTTACGAGTAAGTATAACTAATTTAGAGAGATTATCTGTCTAGAGATATCTTTTTTTATTCTTTTTATTTATCTGTCATTAGGATCCCCCAGTGTTTTGCCCCGCGAACATCAGCGGTGCCGCGAGCAGCAGTGCCGCGAGCAGCGACCTTGAACGCAGAGCCATCGAACGCCGTGTCGCGAAACGACGCTGTATTGGAGGAGGCATCTACGTGCCTCGCTTTAAACGCAACATTCGAGGAGGCGTCATACCTTCTCGCAATTTCGAACGCCCCCGCACCTTGAAGCGAAGGGGCAGGACGAACGGAAGGCACCACAGGCAATTCCTTACGAAATCGAGGGGATGCCATTCACCCCGGCATTCGCATCCCCCCGAAAAGCGTTATTCGCGACAATTCCCCTGGCGTTCGAAAGAACATCTCAGGAACCGAATATAACGTTTCCAAACGGGAGACATTTGTACTTTATACATTTCATTTGATACGTATTTTGTAAAACTATATATTTTTCTTGATACTATGATCATTATGTACTTCTCAGATATTTCATAGTGTAATCATTATATGTTTTATAATACACATATACTTGTAAACATATATTTGCGCAATTAATACTACAACCTTTCCATGATGGCGCGGCAGCGCGGAAGCGAAAAGGGTGCGAGCAACGGGTAGGAACGAGAGCGCGAGGGAGACCGTGTGCGCGTAAGCATGGCGGCGGCGCGGTAGCGTGCGAGGGAGCGAGAACGCGTAGGAGGGAGAGCGCGCTATGGGCACGCTATGCGTGAGACCGCGTGCGCGTAAGCGAGAACGCGTAGAAGGGAGAGCGCGCTATGGTCACGCTATGCGTGAGACCGGGAGGGAGACCGCGTGCGCGTAAGCGAGAGCGCGTGGAAGCGAGAGCGCGCTATAGATGAGAACGCTATGCGTGCGCGAAAACGTGACCCACGAACGCGGCCCGCGACGGCGCGGGGGTGCGGCGGGGGTGCGGCGGGGGTGCGGCGGGGGTGCGGGGGTGCGGGGGTTCGGTGGGGGTGCGCAACGCCCGCGTCGGTGATGTCATCCCCCCTCTCATATTCTCAAAGGGCCCGCCGCTATCATTGTTTACGTAAACATACATGGCCCATGTTTATGTAAACATCTCGGCGGTTACCCCTGTGACGTCATTCCCCCCCCGCCCCGCTCCTCCCTCGGAGCTCTTGGGTTAGAACCGGCCTATTCCTCCTACTGACGAAATAGTATTTCGATGAATTTTATGTGATTTTCACTATATTTTTTAATATAAACTACAACAAATTTATTGTAATGCACAGTTGTAATGCAAAATTTGTCGAAATACTATATTATCCTCTCATGGACGTGTGTGCTTTGCTAACGTGCTTCACATCGCTCTGACATTTTTGATATTTTTTCTGCTGCCCACTGCTTTGCGGGACTTTCTTTTTGTGGTGCGTGATTGCGGGGGTTCTCCTGCTTGCTATTTTTTCACTAATTGGTGCTGGATCTAGTGAGCCGGGGTAGATTTTCGCCTGTTTCTTTTCCTGGATTTCTCTCCTTCGGATAAGTGCCATATTTTTTTTGCTTTTGTGGTGTGTGGTGCACATGCGTCATTTCTCGGATGGTGACGTAGAACTCAAACGAAATGGCAACTTGCTTCTCGGAAGGTGACTTGCTGAGCGCCAACATAAACACCTCAGGCCCGGCAACCGTGAGCGGTGAGCGGTTGGATACTGTCAACGTTACTAGAATTAAGGAACTAAAGGAATCTATAGATGCGCACAATAATGCGGTAGTTGAGTTACTCATATCCAATAAAGACCTTAAAGATAAGAGAGTGAAGATAGAATCTGCTTTTAGGGCCTGTAAAGAGGCATTTGTTGAAGTTTCGGCTGCGTATGTCAGCTTATTAGAGAATGGTATGTTAAAATCGAATCTAAACTCCATCAAAAGCGTTGTAGGTGAAGCTGTATCCGAGGTCTGTAACAAATTAATGGGTGCGTCAAATTCTCAATATGCATCTCGGAGCGCCTGCGCCCCCACTGCTTCCACCTATGCGGCTGTCGCCGCGACGCAGGTTTCAACTAAATCCAGCGTTAAGGTAGCAAGGGGCCCCTCGATTGAGATACCGAAAACAACGAACCTAATTATTACGCCAGCAGAGGATTCGGTCGAGAAATATGCTTCATCTAATGATACAAGAGAAGCTTTTCGGAAAATTATTAAACCGGCGGATTTCAACTTGCGGGTCAAGAAGATTTCGGCAGTAAAGAAAAGTGGCATACGCATTGAAGCGCTGACAGTCGACCTGTCTAAGATGATGAATTCATCGGCGCTCAGTAACGCAGGTCTTCGGCTGATAAAGGAAACCAGAGTGAATCCGAGGATGCTGGTGCAAGGAGTGCCGTCCGAACTCACTAAGAAAGAAATCAAGGCGGACATTATGGCTCTAAACCTGGAGAACGAGGATGCTGCGGGACTCAGGATCATTTATAAATTTCCGGTTAAGAAGAATCGAAGAACGACAAGTTGTATTATTGAAGTCTCTCTTGACATCCGCGTCTCCTTGCTCAAGGATAAGCACATCTTTGTTGGATATCATGCTTGTAAAATATCCGACTACGTTCGTGTACTGCAGTGTTTCAAGTGTCTGGCTTTTGGTCACTTTGCTGAGAACTGCAAGTCCTCTCCCTTGTGCGGTCACTGCGCTGGCAGTCACGAGATGAGAGATAACAAGAAACAAGCCCCCAGTCTGCGGAAACTGTAGACGTTGGGCGCCTTAAACAAACCAAAAACATTCGGCGTTGGACACTCACATCTGTCCAATTTTGCATAGACAGATTGCGGACAGAATAAAAAGCATCAATTATGGATAATACGGCATCGGAAAACCTGCGGATCGGTCACGTTAACTGCCAGTCTTTACTGG